AAAAAAATGTGGGTAAAGGTCCCTAATTACCACAAAAATAATTTAGAATTGAAAATCATAGTGGACCAATAGAGTAGATTGGCAAGTAAACTTTGAAGCAATTGTCTATACTGTACACGGCCCGCACAAACTTTTTGTTTTTCCCCAACTTAAGTCCTGTGTTTCAAACTGGTCTTCTACCTTTAAAACTAGTTTCTTTTCGACTTTTTTTTTTTTTTTGGGGGGGGAGTCAAGTATTTACTGCTGTAAAAAATCAAGTATTTACACATTTCAACCTTGAAAATATTAAAAATGAGCAACTCACATGCTATTTAGCCTATAAAGTTGAAGGGTAATGACCAAAGAGCCTGTTTGAGCCCCACTTTTTGCCCAAAATACATTTTGACATAGTATTTTAATGAAGAATGTGTAGTTAAAAAATAAGGAAAATTTTCGATTTTGCGTGTAATATGATTTTATTGAAAATTTTGTGGTAAAATAAGCGTGAGAAAAATGGATTTTGAATATAATGGGACCAAACAATAGCTAATATGTTTCGGTTTGAAGGTTGAAGACGAATTTGCAATATGAACACTAGGCCTCTGTTTGGGCTTCATTTTATTCAAATTGCATTTCTTTCTATATTTATTTTTTTATTTTTTCAAAAACACATTATAATGGAGCCCAAACAGGGGCCTAGATTGAGAACTCTACTGCTATTTTTTCAAAATATTGTGAGTCGATAATATGTAAGAGACAACTCCAATGGATAAACTTTGAATAAATTTGAAGATATATTTTGTTGGTTAAAGTAGACTCGATGACAAATATAAAGGGATATAGGAAAAATTATATGTGTTGATATAAATTCAATGGTTTTGTGCTCAAGCTGAAAAGTGTAAAAAATTGTTCAACTTATCCTATTAGAACCAACTTCGAACTAATAAAGCTTGGATTTGCTCGTAAAAAGTTAGTTAAAATATGTCAAATTACTGATTCAAAAATGAATTTTTTAGATGGCAAAAAACTACGCCACCTTGTTCTTAGTAAACTTTACACATACGAATATATTTTCGTATTTTATTCAACCAATTGCTATGTCTAATCGCCCCAATAGATTCTTTGTTCAAGGAACATATATAGAACTTAATTTTCTAATTGACAACTTCATGTAAATGTTCATATACATATATATACAGTCAATGAACGCAGAATCTTTAGCCAACTACAAGTTATTAATCTTGAAATAATTATACACAATCCACAAGACATTTTAAGATATATGAATTCAAATGAAACACACCTCTGTCTAATGTCTAATCTATAGTATTAAGTCTCACAATATCACAAACAGACATTTCTGATGCCATAACCAAACTGAACTAAGATCTTTAGACGAAAACCGGGCTGTTTTCCTCATTGAAATCTTGCATTAATGTCGACTCTTCGAAACTCTGATCGAATAAGAATCCATAATCATCCTCAAATTTAGTATGCATCATTTTGAGGCTGGAGGGAGTTTCAGTATTCATCTCTTGTGACAGCTGAAGGTAAACTCTCCGGTTGACATCGGGAACCGATAGGTCGAGGAGACTGCTCGGGTTTTGGCCTTGATCAAAGGAAGTAATCATGTCTTGGCCAAAATTAGGCAATGCATATTCATTTGTAGTAGGAGATGCAACCATATTAGAAGTGGTTGAATCATAAAAATTTTCTGGGCTTAGTTGGTTGCTATTCTCACCCTTGCCTTTGTGAAATACTCGACATAACACCCAGTCTTCCTGTAAATATTCGTAAAAATATATATATATTATATCCATAATAGTTAATGCATGTCCAAAGTTTATATGCATTAATAACGGCTGAACATTGTTCTTCTTCCATATCTTGTTTCAGAAAGAAACTGCTATTTTTTTGGATTCAGATTCTTATAACTCTTATGTGTTTAAGAATGTTTTAGACTTTTTATTATTATATATCGTCAAATAATCTAACGAATTTAATGTGACATATATCAAAACGACAAAGGTCTTATATATTTTAAAAAATTTTGGTCACCCGTTTACCAAAAAAAAAAAAGAAAAGAAAAGAAAAAAGAAAAAAGAAATTTGCATGATAGACATTTGTTGGAAAAAAGAATTTAAAATGCATGTAAGGGGACGAAACGTGACTATTATACAAAGCTGTTAGATAAAATAATCTAACAAAAAATATCATTGGATCAAATAAAAACAGCATTTTCTAAAACGAAATCAAGAATGAGAAACGAATAAGAAGCAATGGATGCGTACAAGAATTTTAAAATGACCTAAAGAGAGAGAATATTTTAGATAGAATCAATCTTGTTTTCAATGAAGTGTATAAAAGAAGTGTTAAAGATATGGACAATATCAATATTTTCCATATCTTTAACAAGAAGTTCCATTACAACATGATTGTCAGCTGAATGACTCAAATTTCTTTTCCTTTGCGTCAACACATTCACATGACCTATGTTTTCTCTCTCTACCTATAGATATAGACTGAGAAGAAAAGAGGAGCAAAACATTATAGTAACTAACCTTAGGGGGCACGTGAGGGTTCTCCAGCCGAAATTCATGCATGATCCAGCCCGTTTTTATTCCATTAGGGGCCCTATTCTTGTAGAAAACTAAAGTCTTTCTCATCCCCACAGTCACTCGGCTCCTCGAGTCGATCACAGCTCGATCCTTTCCCGTCGCCTTCCAGTAGCCCGAGGTGGTGGCCCGGTTGGTACGATATCCGGTTGCATATTTGCGATCTCTAAAGCTAAAGAAGTACCATTCGTTTGAATTCAACTTTGCCACCTCTACAAAATAATGAACATATATTAGAGCTTGTACTGTACTAAAGACTTGCTTGACATGTATCTAACGTAAACACAATTAAAAAAAATGTACATAAATATTATCCAAAGTGCATTAACTTTCGAAACTTTATACATACGCTTATGTATGTGTTACGATTATTTAATTATAATTGCTTGTATGATAATATTTTTATAAGTGACAAAAGTTGGTTATGTGTCACAAAGATTCTCAAGGCTTTGCTTTCATAAAGTTTATAGTGAAAGTCATATGAAAGAAAGGGAAATGTGTTTGAATATTTTCTACTAATTAGATTAGATAGGGTAGGAGGTCTATATCTCTTCTTTATTTCCTTCCTACATGACTTAAAAAAATTAAAATTAAGGATATTATGACGTTCATATAATTTTTACATTTATTTTTAATTTTATGAATCCTTTATTAATTTCCCTTTCAATAACTAAAAACGAAACTACTCTTAATGAATGATCAAATATATTTTCTTTGATTTTTTTTTTCCCGGTTTGCAATGGATTTTGTTGAGCCAAAATGAATAATAGGATTAACTCGAAAAAGGAATATTATATACTTGCATGTTTCATGTTTAATACATATTTTGCGAAAACAAAGTTAGTTTTGAAGACAACTCCTCTGTGAAAATCAGCTATAAACAATTACTCATAATCAAAAGTAGAGATTAAAGAAAGAAAAGGTTAACAAATTAAGCATTATCTTCTGCATATACATCTACAAAAGGAAGCAAAGTTCATTGAACCTATATGGTATATATCCAGAATTTAAAACATTTCTTTTCAGTAAAAGATAAGGGCCTTTTCTAAATTCTTTTCAACTTTTAGGAACAATTATGGCTAAAAAGAAACGTGTATAGTAAGGGGCTATATGACAGTTTTTACAAAAGTTTTAGTAGTCTTGATAAAAGTTGATGAAATGTGATTGAAAAGTTGATGCAAGTTGTTGTTCCTGCAAAATGTATAATTAAAATTGAAATTTAACCAATTGAAAAATTGATAAAATTTCGAATGAGCAGTAGCATATTATGAGTTGATCTGAAGATAAGTTTAACCTCGTAAAAGCTAAAACAAATAGATTAATAACTAAAACCAAATAATGCCATATCCAAAATATATATTGTCATCTATCTCAAAAAAAAATAATAATAATAATAAATAAATAATAAAATAATAAAAGAAAAATTATTATTTGCAGCTATATATAATTTTCATGCAGTCAAATTCCTGCATTATTGAGCCAATAAATCCAAGTAGATTAATCGAATCTAGCAGTGACTACCTCTGAATCAGTATGTATTTTTCCACAATCACGTTGTTATATTTTTCAGATAACAAAACAAAAGAAAATATAAACTAAGGAAAAAAACATAGGGGAATTTCACAACAAAATTCGGAGAAAGTTACACAGGAATATCATTATGAAATGTTAGCCAAGAATAAGAAACAACCAAGAACCACCCCCGGTATGGCGAGGTAGATGGTGACCAGTGAAGAAGAGAATGGAGGATTTACCAGGGAGCTGCCATGGCTCACATGTATGAAGATCAATCTCCACTAAAGTACCTTTAAGAACTTGTTCGTTAGCAATCTTTTTGTAGAGATAATGAAGAACAAGTTCTTCATCGCTTGGATAAAACCTAAAACCTGGTGGCAGTGTCTCTCCAATGTCTCTTAATCCCATAATTAATATTCTGTTTAAAGATTCTAGCTGAAGATGAATATGTTGTCCGAAAAAGGCTCTACTCTTTTTCTTCTCCCTCTCTCTCTCTCTAAGGAAAAAAAGAAAATATATGTATACTAGAAAATGTGTCATGCATTTATATATAAAGTTAGGTTGACAAGTACCTTAACCAATTCGAATATTTTTACATTATTTTAGGAGCTTATGCTTGTGTAGTTAGTTATATGGTCGTGTATTGTGGGAACTTTCAAGAAAAACCAAAATCACAAGAAATCTTTTTGCGGGCAATTAGCTAGTAAATTCCAAATCCTATGTTGGGATAGAACCTCCAAAATACATCTTTTAACTATAAATCAACATAGAAAAATGCACTTTGTGTACATTTTCTAACCTTTTGTCTAGGTGAGAAGTGGGGTGAAGGTGGGTAAATACGAACACTAAATAAATAGACATGTAATTTATTGATCAAATTAGATTACCAAATAAACATGGTCCTTTATTTTCTATTCACCTTACTTAGAAATCATCAGTTCAAATTCTAGTAAAAAAATAATTTTGTACGCAGACTCGTAATTTTCCATAATTTTTTACTACGCATTCTTCAAAAATTGGTTTTCTCACTTCAAATAATCTCCTTTTAAACAAACACTAAGGATCAACTTTGATCCAAGGGTTAGGGTTTTACACAACTAATTTGTTTATATGAAAGTTAGAAGGAAAAAAGGTCTAGCGAGATTATCATGGACATGGAGACTTAGATTTATTAGAACTTTGATAATTAAGATACGCTAAAGTATAGTACAAATAATGTGATTGATGAATTAAATTCATATTTAACTATGTGTATACTATCACCGCTGATGTGGGTTTTTTCTTAATAGTATTATTAGAAAATGAAAATCACATGATTGGTCCTCAAATTAACTTGCCATAGTACTGTTATGATTGTAAAATATGTAAGCATGAATAATAGTACTAATAAAAAGACAATAAAAAGAAATGCATCTCCTCCTCAAGCCCCGATGCCCCACTCTAGCCCGGCCCATAGTTTTCCCTCCCTTCCAACCTACATCGTCCCTGGTTTCACCTCGAGGCCCTTCAATTCACCATCCCTCAAATTTACCTACACCTCATTGAAGACTCCTAGGTAATTAAAAATAATGCTATATTCTGCTTCGTACTTACACATTACCTTTTGATATCTATCATGCTATAAGAAAAAAAATAATTAATTAAACAAAGGGATGGAGCCAAATAATTATTTTTAAATAAAAATGATATACATAGTTCTGCCTTTTAAGCATGCTATATATGTTGTATGATTAGGGACACTGATGAAAATTAAAACTTGAAGGAAGAAAACAAAGATAGACAGCCATTTGATGTAGAGATTCTAATCATGCAATGAGGCAGTCCATTCTGTCTAATCTTCATCTGCACGAATAATTTGGATGAATATAAACTGTGGGCCATAAAATTGTTTCTCTTCTGGGGCATACCAATAATCATTGGCATTGAATAATAAATATCAAGAATTTTCATTTTTCGAAATTTGAAAAGTTTGTGTATTCTATGAATTTTGCTCAATTTTTTATTATTTTTTATTATTATTTTTTTAAAGAATATTACTTCAACTCGAGAGATATAATTCTTGACAAGATATTGGAAATGAGGACAAAATTATACTTATCATAAAATGTATGATAGAATGAAATAATTAGGTATTGACACTATGAATGGGTCCATCGTTGTACATTAAATTCTTGGATTAAAAGATTGAAATAATGCAAAAGAATGTTGGTTATTGAAAGTGATTATTCATAAATACGTGTCGTAAATGAGTTTTAACCAATGATCACAATTAAGCAATATCATAAACACTTGTTATGTCTATATTGTATAAACACTCGAGTCACGATTACAAGTGACAATTTTTACGTGAACGATAGATCTAAAACTCAATTATGATGTGAACGTGAAAAAGTTGAGATTAAACCCTATCAATACTAATTCCATCTCAATGTGGTTAATTAATAGAAGAATTAATTCCCTATATAAGGATTCATAAAATATTGGATCCCCATCTATACAAGAAAATTGTTGATAAAACTCCAAACGTCACTGTTATTATCTACTCAATAATAGATTATTCACTGCCATAATAGGGAGAAATTCTGAGTTCTTATCCCTGTAACCTTTTATTCCCTTTTCTTACTCTCATTGTGTGTAAACAAGGGAATTTTTTGTGGATTTTCCTTGGTGTTCTTAAGGTTGATTCGTATATTTATGTGCGGCATCAGACTTAAAACTCCAAGAAGAGAGGGCTTACCGATAGCCTATAAATGTAAGTTGATCTAAACAATCAAAGACTTATGAATTGCCTCTGCAATACGAGAAATAGCATTTGAAATATATGCTGATCCCAAGTAGATGAGTACTTACGAATGGCCTATAAAATATAATGCTAGGGACCACGAGCCAATTTAGATGGATGAGACTCTATGGTGAGCCTCAAAAATATAAGTTGACTTCAAATTGGCGAAGACTTGTGCTTCGCTCCAAACATATATGATAGGTTGGAATCAGTTTTCGAAACATAGTAGAGATGGCATATAAGCCAACCCCAATGAGATGAGGCTTTACAGCTACCCTTGAAAGATAGTTATCCCAATATGATTTGTCGAAACTTCGACATCTCTTCCAATATGAATTAAACAAACTAGAGAAGCATCACAATATTCCTAATGGGCAAATATAGGTAAGTGCAATGTTATTTGTAGTTGCTCATCGCCACATTTATGTCACATAAGGTGATTTAGGTAATTGGGAATCATTTGTCCCTTCCAAATATTCGTACCAATAGCAATATTCCAAATGCGTGAATATAGATAATTGGGAACCATTTGTCCCTTCCAAATATTCATACCAATAGGACAAAAATTGATAAATCGATTTTATTTTATTTTATTTATTTATTTATTTTTTTGGGTTCAAATTTTGACACCAAAACAATAGGAATTGTGCACGAAGCATATAAGAAGTAACGAGCCTATTTGACAATATACATTAGACACACTCTCTAGCTATGAATACTATGCTGACATAATTTAAACTAACAGTATAGCACGTATCAAGCAAATAATATTCTAAAAATAGTTCAATAACAATAAATTAAGGACCATGCTTCTCTACCAGAAGAAGCATGACAGAGGGCCTGACCGATGTACACATTTTGGGGTGGGACCACCTCTTCCTCCCAATTGTTTATTCATGCAGGGTCCGGTGGTTGTGAGTGAGTGTCAAGGCTTCTATTAACCATTCTTCTGGCAGAGGAGCATTTTCCATAAATCAAATGTCTTCTAGTATGGTCTATCGATGGGGCAAAATAAAATACTAGTATAAACTCGTTAAATCCATTTCTTTTTTTGTCAAAAATAAGAGCAATGATATCTAATGGTGCTAAAACACCATCTATGTCGCACACAGATAACATTAAATAATAAGTCCAATTATCTATGATGTTATGAAACTCATTTAATTGAACCCACCACAGTATTTAAACACCGTTAATGCTAAATATAGCATTACTCCAAAAGTAATAGAAGTGATTTATCTGTTAATTAGTGACCACTAAGACTAAATGCAGAATTAATTATCACTATTGAGTACATAATACAAAGATGCATGCATGGAACCAACCAATAATTATCAAAAGATTTAATACACAAAATTATAACTGAAAAACTGTCAAACACTGCATGAGAGCATTTGGACTCAAATAATTTTGAATCTTCGGATGACTCTTTGGCACATAGAATCTAATGCAATACTTTTATTAATTAATTACTTTTAGAATCTTAGTGAAGCAATCACTTCTCTTTTGTTTTTCATTTTCTTTTTTACTTTCTTATTTTCTTAATTGGTTCTAAAGAAGTCGACGAAAGTATAACTGTTAACTCTAAAAAAACTATCCATATGCAAATCATTTGTCACTTTCACATGTAATATAACAGATTCGATTCAAGGGTGACATATCTGCCTAACTTCACAAAGATTGAGACCTAAAAATATTAAAAACAACTAATCAATTACTTAATTGTTACATTTGGCGTTAGTGATTACCGTTATAAACTTATAATCTAATAATGGATTAACTTAAAAGCGTAGACGTTCCATCATAACTAATTTAGATCTCTATTTTTCCCTAAAATTGTTTATCGTACTAATGTCTAACCGAGCTTAAGGGCACAAATATAGTAGATAAATACTTATTTTATATTTCAAGTATATTCGAAATCTACATAACCAAAATTCTTTTATCTAATATTCATGAATTTGTTTAATAACATAAGAATAATAATTTGGTACATACTCTTTAGAATATATATATATATTTTTTTTTCAAATTCATTTTCAACTACTCATTCTCACAATAAAATAATTTTATGTGGGGACTTGTAATTTTTTCCTACTTTTCAATCAAATATTCTTAAAAATTATCATTTTTTAACAAAATTTATTTTCAAATAATTTACATAAAATATGCCTTTAAGTCTCTATTAGAAAGACAAAAATCTTTGTATACGATGTGATTTAATGTGCCACATCATTCATATTACACGTCAGAATCACCTGACATAATAATTGTTATTGGAAAAAAATGAGTTTCCAGGGTATCCCAATTTCTAATCTAAGAAGAAAGATACAATTATTGTTGAAGATTTTAGTGTTAGGGTTTAATTCCCTGTTTGGTGCGCGTGAAGTTGGTGAAAGAGTGACGGCTTTATATTCTTATCCAATAATTTCGTTTAAATGTCTATTTAGATTATTTGCTTCCATAAGTTATGGGCTTAAATTGGGAAAATGGGACCTTTCATCACAAGTCATTTTCATAATTAATTATACAATTTTGGCTTCCTCTTGATTTGATGAAAATAAAAAATAATTTGTGAAACATTGGAAGTATGTTGGTTGGGTGAGAAAAGAAGGTTGTGGGCATGAACGTGAATGAAAATTCACAGAGAAAATTATTCGATACATTGAAAATAATTTTGTGTTGATTAAATAGTAAGTGTCAAGGTGTCAAATTTGATCTCACTAAATCGACTA